GGCTCCTAAACTCTACCTAAAGCTTTAGATTACCACAGGAAGCCTGGAATGTGAAGACTTGCCCTCAGGAAAAGAGACAGAATTTGGGTTTTATCCTCCAGCCCCCATCCTTTCTGCTCTAAATTCTGCTAAGAAAATAGCTGAAAGAGATTTGCCAAATGCCAGGGCTGGAGAGAAGAGAGATATCACATGCCCTGTACTCTCTTAGCTCAGAGAAGGGCCAGCTGTCCTAAGGCTAGGCTTGACTTTAGGCATCAGCCCCTGACATGAGTACAACTCCCCAGGCCCAGTGGCATCTACTCTGATCTGCTGAGTGTTCCTTGTAAACTGGTGTGGCTAAATTCTGCTGTCTGTAGAGTCTCCAGATCCTTGCTGCTTGGCTTGTGGCTTTGAAACACAGCCAGAGATCCAGCCCTGCTTGCTCAGTCCTCACTGTTGTCTTAGAGGAGATAAAGGGTTCTGGAGAGATTGCTTCTTGACTTGGCCTAGAACCAAACCTTTGGAGGCTTTATTTAGCTCGTAAGCTCTTTGGAAGCCTAGGGCAGAGTTAGCCACATGGTTTATCCATAGATGCTACCATGATGACCTGAGCCTAGTAGACTGTAAGTTGCAGGAATGAAGGACCCACTAGGGCTGCTTGGAGAGAAAGAGGGGACAGCTGTACTGTGCTGGGGACCAGCTAGCTGTGTGGCAGAGCATTTGCCCAAGGGGTTTTGTGCACATGGGCACTTCTAGAAAACTTGCTGGGATCAGCAGCTATCTCCTTAACCCTTGTATTCCCAGTGCCTGGCATTTAGTAGAGAAAGAATGAATGAACGTTGAATTCTGGTGTTTTTGTTTTTCATTTATTTTATGTGTATAAGTGTTTTGCCTGCATGTATGTAAGTGTGCCAGATGCAGGCAGTGCCTGTGGGGGCTGGAACTGTTTTTGCAGACACTTGATAGCTATTGTGTAGGTGCTAGAACTGAACCTGGGTCCTCTGCAAGAGCAGCCAGTGCTCTTTAAGTATTGCACTATCTCTCCAGCCCCAACCTGGGTGTTTTATGAGACAAGAATAGCCCTGTAAGGACTGATAAAACAGTTTTGAGCCGGGCGTGGTGGCGCACGCCTTTAATCCCGGCACTTGGGAGGCAGAGTCAGGCGGATCTCTGTGAGTTCAAGGCCAGCCTGGTCTACATAGTGAGTTCCAGGACAGCTGGGGCTACAGGGAGACCCTGTCTCAAAAAGACCAAAAAAAAACAGTTTTGAATTTCCAGATTAAAAAAATAAAAAAGTATATTGAGTCTGTTGCAAGAGGGCAGTGGCTGGGCAGTAGAGTCCTGGTTACAGCCATTCCCAGATTGTTCTAAAGCAGAAACATACATGAACATGAGAAAGGAAAAAAAGAAGCCTCTCCAATGCTAACTCGTCAACAGGTTTCCAGCTAATAAAATATACAGAGCTTAACTTCACATCATTAAACTCTGCAGTACCACTCCATCCTAGCCCAAACTTCAGAATGAGAGTGAGGACTCTTGGAAGTAACCGTTTATTGCCTTTTGGGAGGCTTCCAGGGATCTTTTCTCCAAAGGAGTCTTTAGGATAGGATTCTGAGGCCAGGGCCTTGTTGAAATGGGCTGTCAGAAGGCGGGGGTGGGGGGGGTGGGGGTGTCTTGCTGTAGTTTGAAGGCTTCTTGAAGGGCAAGGGCTACAGATCACCACTTCTTCTGAAGAGTCAAGGAGTTCTGCAGTGAACTCACAGTATGTCCCAACTGACCTCTGAAGGTGTTTGCTAAATGCTCAGTTAAATCTTTGGTAGACAGGGAACAAGTAAGTTAGGTGCACTAGGGAAACAGTAGCCCTGGCCAGGTTTGGGAAGCAGTAGGAAGGCCACCAAGAATCTCAGCCCTGAGGACTGGGGCCCTGCTGAAGGCTTTTATCTGGTGTTTCTGTGTGTTCTGGAGGCTGTGCTTCTCCCAGCTGCTGGCCATTTGCATTCTGTGTGCCTCAGGGCCCTAGTGTTTCTGCCTACCGTATTGTGAGATGTCAGTGAAGAGCATTTAGCACAATTCCGGGTATATCGATGAATAACTGTGTCACATTTGTCCTGCTTTCCCTAGTTATAGTTCCATTTTCTAGTTCCTGGTCCCATTCTCTAGCTTCAAAGCCAACAGTGTAGCTTCTCTCCACCCACCCTCTTGTAAAGACTCTTGTGATTGCCCAGGTCCCACTAGAGTAATCCAGGAATCTCCTCAAATTTAATCATATCTGCAAAGTCCCTTTGTCATCTAAAGTAAGTCATAGATTTCAGAGATCTGGATGTGGACATCTCTGGGGAGTCATTTTTCTCTCTACCCCAGGGTCAGATAACTTTTCAGAGAGTTGGGGGGAAGCAGCCTTCAATCATTTATACCACTTAGGAAAAGGTGGAAAGAGTGCTCCTTAGAAAAGCCCTCAAGGACACCAATGGAACAGATTTTCTCCTAGGCTTAAGAGTTCTCTGGTAACTTCATATATTTTTCTGGCCCACATTAAGGATATAATGCCCAGAATGAATCTGTTAAGACAAGCAGACATATCTCCAAAAGGGGAAAGGCAGAAAAGTTAGTGTTGGAGCACCTGGGGTGGAATCCCAACTCTGCCACTTCCTGGCCATGTGTCCTGTTATTCCTTTACCTCCTTTTAAGTCTTATTTATTTATATTGTATAATAGGAAAATAGAGGTGAGTGTCTGAGGGCTAGAGAGTATGGAAAGGACTTAAAAGCCTTAGTAAAGGTCAGATGTATCTCGTGGTATTGGGGAAGAAGAATCCTATGCTTCTGTTGCAAAGGCCTGAGGGAGATCACCCACTGGTCAGGCTGGTAGCTACAAGGTCATACAAGTTTTAGGTGCTGAGGGTTCTTTAGAGAGGATAGAGGAAGATGTGAGACTTGAGCTGTGCCTTTAAGAAGTATTTAGCTGGGTGTGGTGGCATACACTTTTAATTCCAGCACTTCAGGAGGCAGAGGCAGGCGGATTCCTGTGAGTTCAAGGCCAGCCTGGTCTACATAGTGAGTTCCAGTACAGCTGGGGCTGCAAGGGAGACCCTGTCTCAAAAAGACCAAAAAAAAAAAAATTTTTAGCAAGGAAAGAGCCAGGATGGAAGAGGGGAGGGCATTAGGCAGCCAACAGCAAGAACGCAGCTTCACAAGCATGCTAGGAAATAAGAGGTCTCTTAGTCTTGGCCCTTAGGGAGACTGGGAGGTGGGGAGGGCCTGGGGCCACTGTAATTATTTAAGAAATAATGCTGGAGCCCATTCACATTTTATGTCCCTCTTTATATATTTATTTTGATAACTTTCTCTCCTAGAGCTGGGACTGTGGTCTACTTATTTCCTATTGTAGCCTTAGGGCCTGCTGGGAATTCAGTAAATATTTGTTGAATGACTAGATAAGAGAACCAACTGCCTAATTGATATAAGTCCTTGATAAGCAAGAATTCTCAGGAGATCTGATCTTGCTGCAGTGAGAGAGAGAAGAAGCAGAGGTCAGTTTGTAGAACTCAGGTGGGACCAGTCAGTGCAAGAGATCACTAAGGAAGTATCCAGATTTGGCAGAGGGAAGGGAGAGAGAAGAAAGGCCACTTGAGGATCCTGAATGTGTGAATTGCACATTTTTTTCACTGAAGGTAAATTTTGCTTTCTCTATGTCAGGTACAGTGCTAGTTGGTGGGCTTCCAGGTTAAACCAGGCATGGTCTCTACCACAGGGGAGCAGGAATTCCAGAGAAAGGAGTCTAGTAAGGGTTTGTACCGTACATCATGAGGATTGGCCAAGGGAGAAACTAGAGGTGAGCATGGGTGGCCCACAGGCAGCTCCTTCTGCTGTGGAATTGAGCCCTCTGGACAGGAAGATCTCTCATTACAAGTGGCTACAAGACTGGGGCTCCCATACCCACTTCCGTCCCATTCTCTCTAACCATGTTTCTCTCGGTTTAAACATCACTTCCTTTGGTGGGGGGGGCATCTGCACTCCAAACTTCGATTGTAACCTTTCCTATTCTCCCCCCATAATCATGTCCCACCTCAGTCATGAATGGTTCACCTTTGTCAAATGTATTTTTCTTCTCTATTCAACCACCCAGCAGACATGAAGGCAGGTCCTTGGTGATCCTAATTACCATTATGAAGTTGGCTGGGGGTGTGACTCTGGTAAGGGCTTACCTAGCATTTGTGAGGCCCAGTACTGCCACCCTTAGTACTACAAAAACAAACAGCATTTAGAAAGGAAACCACATTGAAAGATGGATGGATGGATGGATGGATGGATGGATGGATGGATGGATGGACATCAAAAGAGGAAATGCTGAGAAAAGGATGGGAGAGAAACAACACAAGACAATAGTAGGAATATGGGGGCTGGAGAGATAGCTCAGTGGTTAAGAGCACTGACTGTTCTTGCAGATGACCCAGGTTCGACTCCCAGCATCCATATGGCGGCTAACAACTGTCTGTAACTCCAGTTCCAGGGGAATCCAACATCCTCTTCTGACCTTTGAAAACACTGCACAGCATGGGTGCACTTATATACATGTGGGCAATACACTTATGCGTATAAAATAAGAATTTTTAAAGTATTAGTTAAAAGAAGATGCCGGGTGTGGTGCACACGCCTTTAATCCCAGCACTCGGGAGGCAGAGGCAGAGGCAGGCAGATCTCTGTGAGTTCAAGGTCAGCCTGGTCTACATAGTGAGTTCCAGGAAAGCTGGGGCTACTTAAAATGAGAGACATGAGCCAGGCATAGTAGTGCACACCTTTAATCCCAGCACTCGGGAGGCAGAGGCAGGTGGATCTCTGTGAGTACAAGGCCAGCCTCTGGTCTACAGTGAATTCCAGGAAAGCTGGGGCTACAGGGAGACCCTGTCTTAAAAAGTCCCCCCCCCCAAAAAAAAAAGAAGAAGAGAAAAAATATAAAGAAATGGGGCCTCGAGTTTTGGCCTCTTTCTCACAAATTGTTGGTGTTTGGCTTGCTTTCCTGCAGGTGGAGGCAGGGAAAGGCCTGGAGATGAGGAAGCTGGTTCTCTCAGGCTTCCTGGCCAGTGAAGAGATCTACATTAACCAACTAGAAGCCCTGTTGTTGGTGAGTATCTGCCCTGGGACCCGCTGGTTCCCCAGCAACCAGTGTCATGCTCTAATAGTGCTTTTGGAGTTGGAGAGGAAGGGGAAGCCCACAGGACAGAGACCAGTGCTGCTCCATTTACAGATGAGCATTGGCAACCTGTGTCTGTCACTGCCACCCCTCCATGACCCTGCTCTGTGAGAGGCAGGAAAGGACATACAGATAAGAGGAGAAGCACTCCCATTACCCATGACTGTGGCATGGGTATTACGAATTGATATAGTCCTCTGTCCCACTGGGCACCTCGCTGCCTCCCCAACACTGTGTTGAGGGTAGTGTCTGTCAGTCAGTCAAGTTGAGACCTCTTTGTTACCCTTGGTCTAAGTCCTTCCTCCACCCTGGGAAAGGAGCAGGATAGCACCATTCTGAAGGCCCTGTATTAGGAAATGTGAGATAGAAGGTGTCTGTTGTTTTGAGAAGTGTCATAGCACTGAAGTGTCAGACCAACCTGAGCTCTCAGGAAAGATGAAGGTGGTGTTGTATGAATCAGATTGGGTAGGGACTATTAAAACATTCTAAGATAAAAGCACACAGAGATACATGGTGCTTTTGCCTTTGAATAAAATGCTTATTAGCACGTCTGGATATCATGCAGAGTGATTATGTCACATAAAGTTCTTTTCTCTGGGTGTTTTTTTATAGTCAGGCATAAGATACTGGTTTTTTTGTTTGTTTTTAAAGGCTGAGGCAGGAGGATTATCATGAGTTTGAAACCATTGTGTGCTACTGGTCTCAAAAAACTGAAAAAGTAAGACATACAAACTAACTAAAGAAAAACAGAAAATCAGAAATGTAATAGAGAATTATTCTCATAAGACACAGGTTTATGTACTTGCTGTGATATGAGATGTCACTCAGTGTCCCAGAGAACTTGGCATTTATTACCCAAGGAATGACTATTGAAATGCGAAGATACTTTGCAGTGCACTGGGCTGAGTTTCTTTTAGGGTCTCATTGGGAGTTTATTGGTATGCCCAGTGATATTTTCCAAAGAAGAGATAATGTGACAGATAGGAGTCTGGTCTGAATTTGGAGCCAGAGCCAGGGCAAGGCCTTACAGTATCACTAACAGTAGGCATAGTGCATTGTTTTGCAAATGTACATCTTGACCCCTTGGTGGATTGTGAAAATGTCATGGGTTGAACCAGCATTTTAAAACAAATTGAAAAAGAAAATACGAGTGGGCATCAAAAGTAGTAAAGGGAAGTACTGTTTTAGGATATATGTGTATATGTATAGATGGTTGTACAGAGCCACTTTTCTTTTTCCCCTCCCTCCCCCTCTCTTTATCTTCCTTTCTATTTTTATTTCAATGGACTCATGTAGCCCAGGCTTCCTTTGAACTATGTAGCTGAGGCTGCCCTTGAACTCCTGATCTTCTGCTTCTACCTCTGAGGTGCCTGGTAGGTGTGCAGCCCACTGTTATTTCTTAAATGTTTTGTGGGTTTGAGAACCACAGTCTTAACAGATGTAATGGTGTATGCCCTTAATCATAACACTCTAGAGGCTGAGGCAGAAGAATCTAGTTAAAAACCAGCCTGAACTACATAATGAGACCCTGTCTCAAAACAAAAACCATTATCTTTGGAATGCTGTGCATAACTCTTTGATCCTTAGTTTCCTTATCTGAAGATAAAAGTACTATATAGTTCCCTCCCTTATTTGGATGCCTGTGAAACCCTGGATAGTCTTGAATACTAGATATATTATATATTTTCCTATATATACAAACCTTTAGACAAGTTAGGTACAATAAGCTATTAACAATAATTAGTAAAATACAAGGATTGTAGTAGTGTACCACAATAAAAGTTGTGTTAACATGGCCTCTCTCTTGAAGAGTCAAAACAAACACTAGTATTTTCAGAATTTGGTTGACCACAGGTAACTGAAACTGTGCATTAGGACAGGTGGTGGTAAAACAGTTCTCCCTCTTCTCCCTCTCCCCCTGGGTTGAGAGGATCAGGTGATCCTTTGGGACCTAGTACAGTGCTGGGTGTACTCACACTCAAATCAGTAAAAGAAAGGAGGCAGACAGACCACCAGCTGGCTGTGTATGAAATATACCTCAGAAGCTGGGGTTGCTGTACCCCAAATGTCATTACTAGAAGGATGCATATCTGAAAGAACTTTGTGCCTTCTTTTTTTTTTTTGATCTGCAATTTGGGTTCACAGTAATGCTCTCTGCATGGGATTGCTGTGAAGATCAAGTGAATTTGTACTCACAGCTCTTAGAAAAGGGCCTAAGCGGTACCTAACATTGTTACCACTTCCTCCAGCACTGAGAGAAAACGGGCTAGGGCTTCTGTGTGTTCCTTTGGGTTTTGTTTTGAAATATTATCTTTCTATGTAGACCAGGCTGACCTCAAATTTCAAGCTGTCCTGCTTCTGCCTCCCATGTGCTGGATTCAGACATGTACTGCTATGCCTGGCTTGGGGCTTTTGTGTTTTTGTCAGTAACCCCCACATACACACCTGAAGGAGGAGGAAGCACTCTATACTCAGGAGAGGCATGAGGCTCTTACGTTCCAATCTCTATCAGGTAGCCTCCTCTGGACAGAGACTTAGGAGGAGCCAGGATAGCACATCCCTGCCCTGCCTTTCTAACAGGTCCTGCCCCAGAGTCATAACTGAGGCTGCCCCCACCCTGCACTTCTAACTTGTTCACTCAAGCCCCTGCTTGGTTGTTTCTTGAGCATAGGCCAGAGGGAGGAACAGGTGGGAAGCAGGTTTATGACTGAGAGGCCCAGGTAGAGGGTGGAAGGCCGGGGTAGAAGGTGGGATGACAGGATCTTTTGAAGCCTCAGGGTGAGAGGATAAACCTCAGATAAGCACTCAATCCTGCCCTCCTCCACAAACTGGAAAGCCTCTCCTCTCAGCCACTGAGGAACTAAACTCTGCTTCCCTGGGTGGTCTGGCCCAGGTGAAACCATTTCCTTGGCACTCACTTCTCCCACAGCTCCCTTCAGGGAGTGACTGTGAAACACCAAGTGACTGTGCAGTGCAGCCTGCCTGTGTGTCTTGTCTGTGTGTGTTTTCCCCTCAATACTTCCTGGTATGCAAAAGGCTGGGCCTGTATACCTAAGACTGTATACACAGGAGACAGGGAAGCCACACAGGGGCCTCTGTTCTGGCTCCTGGGGTGCTGGCTGGGGCCAGGTTTTGCAATCTGAAGTCTCTGTTCCTGATGGGCTTCTGTTACTCATAGTGGGAGCCCAGGTTTAGGGGCTATAAAGAAAAGAAGAGAAAACTGAATGTGTTGTAGTTCTATGTATTGCCAGTGCAGGTATGGGCTATTGCCCACAGCACATCCCACCTCTGGGCTATGATAGATGGCCACAACTGATCCCCATTTTCCTCTTAGACTTTCATTTTGGCCATTTTCTTTGGAGTTCATAGTCCCACTGTATCTCAGCTTCTTTATCTGTATAATAGGGTAACTGTACCTCTTCCCTGAGCTCCTGGGAGTAGGTAGCAACCAAGGAGATAGGTCAGCAAATGTCTGCCAGGCCTTCTGAGGGAGGAAGTGGAGGAAGTGGGCAGTTTCTTTCCCGTTTCAAAAGACCACTTGCTGGAGGACAAAGCAGACATGACTGTGTGAGGTCAGAATGAATCCAGCCCCGTCTTCCTGAGAGGCTCCCAAAGCTGGGAAATCTAGAGCCAGGGTTGAGGTCACTCAGGGGTTCTGTCTAAGAATTCTCCACATAGCCAGAATCTTACCCTTGCCCCGCAACTGGATGAGGAGGAGGAGGAGGAGGAAGGCAGAGGTAGCTGGTATACTGGCTCCCTGGTGCAGTGTCAATGCTGGGTCAAACTCATAGACAGTAGCCTGGCCTTACAGCCTCTCCCAACCCTGAAGCTTGCATGTGAGTCTTCAGATAAAAATAACTACCTCTGGACCAGACCAGGGGGCCCTTTCCCCTCCCCTGTGGAGAATGGGGGTGACGGCAAAAGTCCTTCATCTGGTGTGAGAAAGTCTCATGCCTCCAGTGCAAGACCAGTCCATGTGACTGGCCCTGGTGAGAGTTTTTTTCTTCCCCTTCTGTAGCTGCAGTGGGAAGTTTAAGAGGAAGCAGAGCCGTTGGGCCTGTCTTGGTGTGGGAGGCAGATGAGTGCGTGCTTCTCCAGCAGCTTCTGAGAAATCCTGTCTCCTTTGCCTTCCTGGGACTGTTCTCCTGTTTCCTTTATTCTCTCTGCAGTAGGGATTGGCCAAGGCGGAGACAAGGATGAGTGGCTCTGGAACTCTGGCAATTTGTGCCTATCCATTGGATCATGGGTAAAGGTGTAAAGGATAAACTCTGTCCTATCCAAAGGGGATGCCCCCCCATCCTACCATTTGGTTGTGGGACAGCACCACACCCTCTGCTCAGAGCTCCTGACCTCAGAGGTCCTTCTACCTCCTTCCCAAAGTTCTTTCCTATAGCTGATCCAGTACAGTCTTGGAACTACATGGCTGGTATTTACAATCCAACTTGGGAAATATCCTGTCTCATACTTGGCCACCAAGTCGTTTTGTTTCTCAAAGTCTGTTTTATTCAAATAGATTCTAATGTTCTCAAAAGTAGGGTTTATGGATCATCCAAATGAGCTCCTGAATATTGGACTTTATCACTTCCTCTACTTAAATCCCTCTACAGAATACTGGCTATGTTCAATTGTGCAATCAAAACTGTACTCCCCTCTGCATGAATACCTACCTTCCCATGATCCATCCAGCCTGCCCCAGCCCTGCCTCAGTCCCTCTCTTCTCCTTGCCCACTGCACATAGGCATATTGGCCTTCACCTCCTGTCTCTTACCAAGCCTATTCCTGCCTCCAGACCAGGAGTCAGGGTAGTCTGCCTGGAGTACTGTTACCTCGGGCCCCTGTTTCCATCTGAAGGTAAATGTTCCCTCTTTGGAGAAGCCTTCTATCACCCTGCCTTAGGTGACCCCTTTATTTCCTTCATTGCACTTACTGGTGTGTGTAATTAGATGTTGGATCATCTACTTGTGTTTGATTTGTCTCCCCATTAGATGGGAAAACCCCATGGGGACAGGGACTGTATGTGTCCCAGGTACTCCATGAGTGTCCTAGGGCTGGCCTCATGCTTGGTCCATTTTTCACAGGTGAATAGTAACATTGGTTGCCTTCTGTATGCCAGACACATACTAGATACTTCAGTGTGTGACTTTTGATCTTCCCATTGATTCTCCTGAAAAGATAATACTATTCTGGTCCCACAAACAAGCCTGCTGATGATGTTATACTAAACCCAGAGATGGGAAGTGACTTGCCCCCAGCTATTAAATGGCTAGGTCACGGCTCAAGCCCACACTTCCTGACCTGCCCAAGGTTGTGTCCTACCCTATTTCCTAGGAAGGACTTGACACTGAAGGTTACTTGGTTCTAGTGCTGAGAGGGTCATCAAGAGAATCTGCTTGGCCCTAGTTTTGTCATTGTATCTGACTTTGTAGACTGGAGAAAAAAGAAAGGGAGAAGTCAGAGCATTGTCTTGAGTGTTTGGGACTTCCTCTTATGGACACATTTGGGCTTGGCACCATCAGCGGGAGAATGGAGTGAAGTTGGGCTGGGAGGCTGACTTTTGTAGCCAACTCAAGCTGACTGTTATAGGGAACCAGCAATAGCTTTGCTCTCCGTTGGTACAGGTGACCCCACCAGTCCAACACTTTCAGCATGTGAACCGCTCGCTCCCTCTCTAATAGAATGCTTCTCTTTTTGAACAGTCTACTACCTCATCCCATGAGATAATGGGGGACAGCTCTAGTGAGTCCAGGCCTAACTAACCCCCTATTTTTTCCCCACTGTTCCTGGGTTTGCAGAGAAGTCCAGGTTATCAAAGAACCCATTCCATACTGCCTCCAGATAGAAGCAGATTGGCCATATCTGACTTGGACCATATCTGACTTGGGTGCTCTTTTAGGTATATATGTGCCCTCCCCTCACATGCTTCCTGATCCTGTCTCCTATATCTTTTGATTTTTCTGATTAATTAACATTTATTATTGTGTGTAATATATATATATATATATATTACTTTTACTTGTTTAGTTATTAATTTCTTTATTTGAGTCACTACATGTTTCCCAGACTGTTCTCAAACTCCTAGGGTCATGCAATCCTCCTGCTTCAGCTGGTGCCACAAGCATGCACCAGAGTGCCCAGCCTCATTGTAGGTGATTTAGAAAATACAGGCGATCTTGCTGAAGCAAGTTCCCCCATGCCCCATTATCCCTTGCAGTGGTGGGGTGTGGTCCCGAGTTACTGCCTGCCACTGGAGGCTCTGATACATCTTGGGGTAGATAAGCAGGGATGACAGATGGTTTTCATTTTCATGTCAACAGGCACTGAGAGAGTTTGAGGCCACAGTCACACTCAGTGGGAAAGATCACCATGCCTGCCTAGCAGTGTCTGCCACGGATGTGGGAAGTAGAGGGTGGCATGTGTGTACCTGCTCTCTCCCTCACCAAGTGACAAGAACTGAGAATGGGCTGGTTGGGATTTTGGGTTTTGTTCTGGGTTTTTGTGTATGTGTTTATTTTTTGGGTTTTTCTGAGACAGGGTTTCCCTGTAAACCCAGCTGGCCTGGAACTCACTATGTAGACTAAGCTGGCCTCAAACTCACAGAAATCTGCCTGCCTCTGCCTCCCAAGTGCTGGGATTAAAGGCAGTTTTGTTTTCTTAAAGACGAGATCTCACTATGTTGCCCAGGCTGTCCTGAAACTCAACAGTCCTCCTGCCTCAGTTTCTGGAGTGCTGGGATTACAGACATGTGCCACCACACCTGGCTTGAGCTGGTCTTGAGTCTGTTCAAAGTTTTAACTTCTGAATACTAAAACCGCCTTCTGTTTCTCAAAAGGAAGCAGCTAAGGAGATGGGTTCCCAGGCAACCCTCCCTTCCTTTGAAGCGTGACAAAGAAGCTTATGATGTGAGGCCTTTGGGGAAGAGATAAGGGATCTGTTAAATGTACACATGAACCCATACAGGCCTGGGGCTGGATGCTGTGAGCTCAGATGGAGGAAGGGGTATGGTGGAGCAGATCCCTGCTGTCAGGTTCCCTCCCCTTGAGTGTGACTTGTTAGGACCTGTGACAGCAGCTCTGAGATTGAAACCACTTTCATGTGCTCTGCCTTCAGTGGCCTTGTTTAAACAAGACTTGGACGTCATAGCAGGTTAATCAGTACCATAATCTTCCCAGGGGCGGCCAACACTCTGTTTCATTCATCCCCACCTCTGCTCTTCTTCCTCTTCCTCTCCCAGCCCATGAAACCCCTGAAGGCCACAGCTACCACCTCCCAGCCTGTGCTCACCATCCAGCAGATCGAGACCATCTTCTACAAAATCCAGGATATCTACGAGATCCACAAGGAGTTCTATGACAACCTCTGCCCTAAAGTGCAGCAGTGGGATAGCCAGGTCACCATGGGCCACCTCTTCCAGAAGCTGGTGAGTCTCCCAAGAAGGGAACATCTCCATGAACAGCCTTGGTGGAGCCCATGGAGGGACAGAAGAGGGCATCAGATCTCCTGGAACTGGAGTTACAGACAGTTGTTAGCTTCCATGTGGGTGCTGGGATTCGAACCCAAGTTTTCAAGAGCAGGTAGTGCTCTTAACTGCTGACTCATCTTTCCAGCTCCCTGTTTTCTTTTGTTTTAAGAGGCAGGATCTCTGTAGCCCAGGCTGGCCTGGAACTTGCAGCACTCCTCCCGTCTCAGTCGCCCAACTACTGGGATTGCAGGTATGAGCCACACACCTACCTTTCTCGATTTGTTTTCACCACTGGGACTCTGAGGTCTCTAGGGTCCCCTTGGTCTTAGCACCACAGGCCTGGTTATGAATTTGCTTTCCACCCCTCCACCCTGCAGTGTTGTGAACTGATGCCTGCTACTCTGCAGGCTTGGCAAGGCCTGGGTGGAGCCAGGGCAAGCCAGGCATCTGGAGGCAGTTTATTTTCAGCTGGTCTCTGGGTATTTGATTATCCATTACCAAGAGAGGGGAATTAGCATCTCTGCTGTTTGTTTTATGAGCTCACTCCAATGCCAAACTGCTGTTTCCAAGCAACCTCCACTTCTTAGTTAATGACCCTGGCAGGCTAGGTCTCTGGCCCTCCAGCCTGGGGTAACTATGGAGATGACAGTGCCTGGGATGGCCCATGACTCCTGTACCTAGATGACTTCTGCTTCTGGCTCATGGTGGAGCAGCAGCACAGCAACCCAAGCACCCATGCTTCATCCTTCTCATGGGAATAGAGGGGGCTGGGATGAAGCTAACCCAGGGTTAGTTGCCAGAACCCTGTGTTGAATCCTAGCTCTGACTAAAACTGGATGTGGTAGGCCACATCTATAATCCTAACACTCCCTAGAGGTAGTGGCAGGAGGATCAGAAGTTCAGGGTCATCCTTGGCTACATAGTGAGTTTGAGGCAAGCCTGGGATACATGGGTATGATCATGAAAGCTAGGCATGGTGGCACATGCCTGTAGTCCCAGTACTTGGGAGGCAGAGGCAGGTGGATCTCTGAGTTCAAGGCCAGCCTGGTCTACATAGTAAGTTCCAGGACAGCTGGGGCTACAGGGAAACCCTGTTTCAAAAAGACCAAAAAAGAAAGCGGGGTGGCGGGGGGGAGGCCAGGGAGGGAGGGAGGGAAGAGGAGAGAGAGATCATGAGAATAGAAGGCACAGGCAGGGATCCCTTTCCTGAAAGCTACTGAAGTTGTTTGCTGGCTTAGGAAAGCAGCTCTCCAGGACATCTCCTGTGGCTTGGCACTAATAGCCAGGGATCCCCTGGAGAAAAGGTGCATTCTGTCCCCTCTTCCCTTTCCATGGGAGCTTACTTTCTGAGAAGTCCAGCCCCTCGGCTCAGACTGCACTGCTCCAGCCTTTCTTCTCCCCCTGCATCCCAGTTCCTATTTTCCTCTATAGCTCTTCTGTCTCTTCCCTTAGGATGTACCAGGGCCTGCTAGCACTATGCACAGCACCCGCACTCCTCCCATCCCCCCAGCTTCTGTATCCTGGAGGAATACAAGGAATCTTCAGAGAATAGAGTAGTTTAGAGTAGGGCTCAGGAGCAGCCTACTTTTCCAGCACCTTGGTGGGGAGCAGAAACCCCCAAAGAAGTCTAGCAAGCAGTAATTCCTTCCCCCTTGGTACCTGTTTGGGGAAAAAATTGAAACCAAGCCGGGCATGGTGACACACGTCTTTAATTCCAGCACTCAGGAAGCAGAGACTGTCGGATCTCTGTGAGATCCAGACTAGTCTACATATCCAGTTTCAGGCCAGCAGGGGCTTCAGGGAGACCGTTTCAACAACAACAACAACAAAATTTAAATCAGAAAATCGGGAAGGTAACACAGCAAGCAACTGTGTCTGCACCTCTCAGAGTAACAGATGGTTAAGCTTGGAGGATGAATGCCAAAACTTTCTCCTTTTTTTCTTTTTCTTTTTTTTTAATATTTATTATTTTTATGTGTATGAGTGTTATGCCTGCATGTAAGTCACCCATGTTGTCCAATGCCGGTGGAGGACAGAAGAGGCTGTTAGATCCCCTGGAACTGGAGTTACGGACAGTTGTTAGCCGCCATCCCAAGGGTGCTAGGATTCAAACCCGGGTCTTCTGCAAGAACAGCCAGTGTTCTTAACTGCTGAGCCACCTCTCTACTCCTCTCCTTTTTTTCTATTATTTTTCTCTTCTATTTTTTTGCTCCCATATATGTGTGTCTGTGTGTGCATGTGCACTCATGGTGTGTATAAGTAATGGGGGTGGTCACGTGTGGAGATCAGAAGATAACTTTGTAAGGTTTGTTTTCTCCTTCCACCCTTACATGGGTTCCAGGGATCAAAGTTGGGTCACCAGGCTTGTGTGGCAAATGCTTTTTTTAACCTTCTTAGCAGCCCCTCCACTAGTGAAACTTTCTAATAAAAAAATAAGAGTCGTACATAGTGACCCATGCCTTTAATCCCAACACTCAGGATGCAAAGGCAGGTAGATTGCTGTAAGTTCCAGGCCAGCCAGGGTTATGTAGTGAGACTCTGCCTTAAAAAATTTTTTAAGTCAGGCCTAGTAGAAGTAAATCTATAATCCCAGCTACTGAGGAGACTGAGGCAGGAAGATTGCAAGTTCAAGGCCAGACTGGGAAACTTAGTGAGACCCTGTCTCAAAACAAAAAGTAAAAAGATGCAGAGGGTACAGTGGTGAACAACTGTTATCCTAGCACATGGGAGGTGGAAGCAGAAGGATCAAGAGTTAGTCATAGGGAGTACAAGGTCATGACTCCATAGGAAGTTTGAGGCCAGCCTGAGCTACATGAGACCCTGTCTGAAAGAACAATACACAAAACAAAAAATATAAAATATTAGGTGAAGTCTGTTCTTCCCCCATTCTCTTGAAGCAACTGCTGGTGGGAATCTGGTATGGAGCCATGTACACTGCAGTTTGTATTTTTGCTACTTACCTATATATTTTATGATATTGTGTGTACTTTTAAAATGTGCCTATGTGTATATGTATATCACATTTTGCAATTCAGTCACCATTGCTTTGATATATGTTGATGTTCATTTATCTGAACTGTGTCAGTGTCAAGGGTTCTGTGAGTACTTGTTTCCAGCTCTCCCACTATAAGGAAGAAGAAAGGCAGTGAACATCCTTGTTCAACACTTCTTAGGCACATGCATATATAGATTTTTCAAGAGCAGCACTAGCCAATGGAAATAGGCTGTGAGCCACATATACAATTCAGCATTTCAAGTTTTTATTAATGATTGTTGCATGTGAGAAAGTCCAAACATGCATGCTGTGTGTGTAGAGGTCAGAGGACAACTTTTAGGAGTAGTTTTCTCCTTCTGCCTTAGATAGTTCAGGGATTGAATTCAGTGCAACAAGTACTTTTACCCATTGAACCATTTTGCCAGCCATATATATTATATATATAATTTTAAATGTCTTAGTAGCTACTTGGGGAAGAAAAAAAAAAAAGCAGTGCTGGGAAGTCAACCCAGGACCTCACACAATATAGGCAAACACTGACATTGAGCCATATATACCCTCAGCCCTAGTAACCACAATTTTTAAAAGTAAAAATAGGGTAATAGCTAAATGGAATGCACTTGTTCCTATACCTGAAGCCTTGGTTTTCATCTCCAGCATGGCAGAAAACAAACACAGGTGAAGTTGGTGGTGCATGCCTATACTCCCAGCTACTCGGGAAGATAAGGTAGAAGGATCGCTTATACCCAGGAGTCAGGTGTTTAAGGCTAGCTGGCAACATATTAAGACTCTGTCTCAAAAAAAAGAAAAAATGAAAACAGGGCTGACGGGATGGCTCAGCAGGTAAAAGTGCTTGGCTCCCAAGCCTGGTGACCTGAGTTCAATCCCTGGATCCCACAATAGAAGAGGAGAACCTGAAAGTTGTTTCTAACCTCCACATGTGTGCCATGGCACACAGGTACCTATACGCACACACACTGTTCATACACACAAATAATAAATTTTTTTTGCAGGGGGAATCCCAGGTGGCCTGGAACTTGCTATATAGACCAGGCTGGCCTCAATCTCACAGATCCTTTTACCTCTGTGCTGGGATTGAAGGTGTGCACCACCACACGCTGGAGAGATTACTGAACCATTAAGTGCTTCCTGCTCTTGCAGAGGACCAGAATTTGGTTTCCAGTACCCACTTCAGCTCCAGTGTACCTGACACCCTCTTCTGGCCTCCACAGGCACTTGTACATATACACATAAATTTAAAAAAATAAAAATAAATCTAAAAAAGAAGAGAAAAAAAGAAGGCTGGCAAATGGGTGAAAAGTGCTTATGGCCAAGCCTGGGAGCCACATGTTAGAAAAAGAGAACTGGGGGCTGGAGAGATGACGCAGCAGTTAAGAGCATTGGCTGCTCTTCCAGAGGACCTGGATTCAATTCCTAGCACCTACATGGCGGCTAACAACCATCTATAACTCCAGTTCCAGGGGATCTGATGCCCTCTTCTGACCTCTGTGAGCATCACATGACACAGGCACACTTACATACACTGATACACATAAAATAAAAGTAACAAAATTTTTTTTCTTTTTCTTTTTGAGACAGGGTCTCCCTGTAGTCCCAGCTGACCTGAAC